CAGCTCTCAGAGCAGCCACATTCCCTGGCTCCTGGCCCCTTCCTCCACCACAAAGCCAGCAGTGGCGAGTCGGCCTCACATTACATCTCTCTATTGGCCTCTCTCACTCTTCTTTTACACACTGAAGGCCTTGTGTGATTTAATTGGGCTCATTTGGGTAATCAGGGATCATCTTCCCATCTCAAGGCTCTGAACTCTAAGCACATCCCCAGATTCCCTTTGCTGGGTAAGGTAGTATAGTGACAGGTTCCAAGGATCAGGACACAGTCGCCTGTGGGCTGCTCTGAGTTGCAGGGTTGTTCTATAGCCCCTGTGCCTTTCTTGCCACCCTTTCTTGTAACAGGCGTTTATGGAGCACAAACTCCTTCCCAGGGTACAGTGTTGGCACCTGGTGGTGAGTAAGGTAGACAGTGTTGTGCCTCTCACTGGAGCTTGTATTCTAGCACAGAAGACATGTGGCAAACACGTAATCAAGAAAGAAAGAAAATGATTACAGATTGTACGTGACGACAGTAAGCGAGGTGATGAGTGGATATCAACTGGGGAAGGCCACTGAGCCAGATAGGAGGTCAGGGAGGGCCCTCCAGGGGTGTGACATGTGACCCCAAAGCTGAGAGATTTAAATATATCAGGCACACTGGGGGCCAAGGGTCGAGGATTCTAGCACAGGACATGAGGATGTACAGTCCCCCAGGCAGCAGAGGGCACATGTTGCCCATGGACAGTCTGAATGCCAGTGCCAGCCGAGCAGAGTGACCCGGGCAAAAAAGTAGAGTGAATGTTGGTGACAAGATGGGAAGAGGTGAGGCCCTGTGGCAACTGAGAGGTGGTGTGTGGTGCGGACTATGGATTTTATTCCAATAGCACTGGGGACCTGGCGAAGGTTTTAAATGGCAGTGAGGGTACAGTAGGTAACGTGATCTATTTTTCTTTCTAAAAGGTAGTGGCTGTGTGAGAATGACAGGGCAAGGATGGGTTGGAGAGACATATTAGGGGCTACGTCAGGTGAGGCTGGAGATGACAGGGGCTTGGTCTGGGGTGAGGACAAGGAGAGAAGTGATTTGACCTGTGATGTATTTTGGAGGTAAAGCTGACAGAACTAGTGATGGTTTGCTTGTAGGAGATGAGAAAGAGGGTAGAGTCAAGGATGACTGCCAGGTTTTTTAGCAACTTATGGGTAAGAATGCCATTTACTCAGATTGAAAAGGCTGGAGGGAAAACCAATTTGAAGAAGCAGAGCCTAGAATTCAAACTGAACTTGCCAACATCGAGACGTGTGTTAGATGGCCAAGAGGTGATGCCAAGGAGACAGGCCTGTGGGACTACAGAGTGGGTGAGGAGACGGGCCTGTGGGACCTCAGCATGGGGAGCAAGGAGGAGACAGGCCTGTGGGACCTCAGTGTGGGGAGCAGGCAAGGAGACAGGCCTGTGGGACTGCAG